TTTCTTCAGAGACACAAGTACCACTATTTTATCTGCTATTATAAGCAACTGTAAGAGTGGAGGCTTACAATTAATTACCTGGATATACATTTTTGTTTGCTCTACAAATCATTTAATCCTGAGAAATAAGTCACAGTTCATTTATATGCTTAGACTGGCTGTTTTTGTTAACTCTGAAAAAGATTAACCTCCTTGCAAAGAAAGTGATTTGGTTTAATTAAAGACTAATACATTTTCTATAGGAAATAGTGACGACTACTTGAGGATGGGGATTATGTTTGTCTTTAAAACAAATCATGGTATCCCTGGTGGCTAGAGCATAATAGGCATTCAGTAATGAATGAAGAGTCATTTTTTAAAAATATGTTCTTGCTATTAGCACAAGTTGGCTTAACAATCTTCCTGCCTCAACCGACCAAGGGCTGGGATTGCAGGTATGTACCACCACACTGGCTTGAATTTAAGTTCTTGAATGAATATTGATATCTATGATTAGTTAAAATAACATCATTCAAACTTTTAACTTGTGCTTATTTTAAAAAACATCAAACATTTATTCATGACTTTAATGTTTATATTATAAAAATAATAGATATTTTTCAATTTAAAAATATAAAGCCTTGTTAAATATTAAAAAGATTTTGTCCCCAAAGTAATATTTTTAGGCTATGATGTATGTCATGACGGGATCTCTACCTTCCTGACCTAGCTCCTCTACTAAATTGAGAATCACTCTGCTTTGTTATAGTTTAAGTTACTATAGTTGCATAGCTAATAACAGTGGCTTAGCAAAAAGAACCATAATTTATTATACTCATGAATCTGCAATTTCTGCAAGGCTAGGAGGGCATAATTATTTCAAGTTCATCTGTTATCAGCTGTGATAACTTGAATCGACCTCAAATGATACTCCTTAATTGGCAACCAAATAGCTGGAAAGTTGATGAAGTTAAACTGTGTGCTACATGTACAATCACAGATCTATAGAACAGCTTGTTTCATATCTTAAAAATTATTATTAAATATCATTAATATAAATAGGAAGGAAAGTGGTGTTTGAGTGACCTACATAGTCTGGTTATCAGAAATGTATACTTATCAATATTTCAGGTTGCTCAGTCCAAGGCCAGAACTTAGCTGCATGTGCAGCCAGGGCCAGGGGCCTTTATTCCATTTCATGAGGGCATAGCTAGCAGAATTCCTGGGAACTCTTGAGGAATCAAAGCATGGAAACTGGATTCTAAGAGGTAGAGTTCAAACAGTGAAGAACTGGAAGTCTGTAGTTTCTGAAGGCCTGAGCTGAGATACTTGCACATATTCATGGTTATCAAATTCTACTGGAGAAACAATCATGAGATATGCCTATATTCAAGAAGAAGGGATATAGACTCTGCCACTCAGGGGAGGGGTATCAAAGAATTTGTGACCATGTTTAATCTCCTATTGTTATCTTCAAAGAAATCCATTTGTGTTGAATGAAGAAAATATGATTTTTTAGATGAGACTTACAATGGTATATGTGCCAGGATTACCAAGACCCTGTAAATATGAAAAATGTACAAAATTAGCAGGTACAAAATTAGACTGCAAAAACATATAAAAAGAGGATTGTAAAATTATCACAAATCATCCTACTTATTACTAGTGAAGTATGTGAGTTGACTATATAGTACACGCATTCAAAGGGTAAAATAACATGATGGATGTTTAAAAAATTAGCCAGACCAATCCTGGACATTTGTGTTTGATAAATGACAATGGGCCTTTCTAAGGTATTGACTTTCTTCATATGGCTAGGATACAGGCCACCTTAGTGTCTATTTCCTTGCTCTGACTTAATAATATGTGTTCCTTCTATATTTTTGTATAAGTAGTGATGTTTTTATATGAAAAAATAATGTTTTTGAAAAACTGATTCTTAGTTTTTTTCTGAATTTGCTGGAGAAATATTTGAATACCTACTATATTCCAAGAGCTAGGATATTTGGGGTAAATTAGGCCTACACTACCTTTATGGAACTTTTATTCCTAGTAGGGAGGACAGATGATAAAATATAAACAAATATAACTATAATTTAAGATAGTGACAAGTAAAATTAAAAAAAAATTAGACAGCAAGGGGGAGGAAAGTGATATTGGGGAAAGGAATGCTTAGACAATTTGGCGAAGGAAGAGCTCTGTGATGAATTGGGCTTTGAGCAGAGACCTGAATGAAGAGAGAGGAAACAATCATAAAAGATGAATATATTTTTGTGTGCACTCTTAATGTACTTAAAAAGATAAAATGTGTGGTCATTTATTGTAAGCAGCATATAGTTGGGTATTATTTATCCATTCAGTTACTATGTCTTAGAAATTTTAATTCATTTACATTTCAGGTAATATTTTATAAATAAGGTCTTATTACTGCCATTTTGTAACTCATTTCCTAGTTTTTTTCTAGTTCTTTTCTTTCTCCTTCTCTTACACTCTTCACTTGTGGTTAAGTGATTCTTTAGTAGTATGTTTTGATTCTTTGCTTATTATTTTTGGTTTGCCAACAGGTTTTTTCTTTGTGGTTAGCATGATGCTTACAAAAACATCTTTTGGTTATAATAAGCCATTTTGAAATGATAGTAACTTAGACAACAATCATAAGTATAGGACAAGAAATAATAACAAAAGCAACAAAATAAATAAAAAGAGTATAACAGTTTTGCTTTTTTAAAATAAACCTTGAAAACCTCTACTCTTAGATCTGTTCCTCCCTACATTTTGAATTTTTGGTGTTCTATTTTACAGAATACATTGGCCATCTCGTAACATATTAATGCAGTTATAATGTTAATGGTTTCTCCTTTAGACTTCATACTTCATATATAAATGCTTTATGCACCACATTTACAATGTCAGAGCATTCTGAATTTCTCTGTATAGTTACTCTTTTTTTTAAAATTCGTTTTGTATAGTTACTCTTACCAGAGAGTTTTATACCTTGCCATGTTTCCTTCTTACTGGTTTGCAACTATTTCAATTTAAAGAACTTCTTTAGGCAGATAACCACTTTTCCCAGCAGCATTTGTTGAAGAGGCTGTCTTTTCTTCATCGAATGTTTTTGGCACCTTTGTTGAAAATAAGATGGGCCTAGCTGTGTGGATTCATATCTGGGTCCTCTATTCTGTTCCACTGGTCTTCATATCTGTTTTTGTGCCAGTACCATGCTGTTTTTATTGCTACGGCTCTGTAATATAGTTTGAAGTCAGGTATTGTGAAACCTCCAGCATTCTCTTTTTGCTGAGTATTGCCTTGGCTATTAGTAGTCTCTTGTGTTTCCATGTGAACTTTAGGGTAGATTTTTCAATCTCTGTGATGAATTTCATTGGGATTTTGATGGGAATTGTGTTGAACATGTAGATTACTTTTGGTAGTATAGCCATGGAGATCTTTCTGCCTTCTGTAGTCTTCCTTGATCTCTTTCTTCAGGGGTTTGTAGTTCTTTTTGTAGAGGTCATTCACATCCTTTGTTAAGTTTATTCCCAGGTATTTGAATTTTTTGAGGTATTGTAAATGGAATTGTTTTCCTGTATTTCTCAATTTGTTCTTGTTGACATGGAAGCAGTCAGGGGGTAAGAGGAGGGAGGTGGCTCAAACAATGTATACACATGTAAGTAAATGTAAAAACAATAAAAGAAAAGAAAGAAAAAACCAAAAAAAGCAAAGAACTTCTTTTTAGCATTTCTTGTAGGACAGATCAGGTGATGACAAATTCTGTCAGGTTTTATTTGAGAATGTCTTTACCTCTCCTTTATTTCTGAAGGATAGCTTTCAGGGTGTACTATTTTTGTTGGCAATTTTTTTCCTCTAGCATGTGAAAATCTCATTCTACTACCTTCTGACTATAAGGTTACTGCTGAGAAGTCTGCTGTCAGACAATTGGAACACAATTGTGTATTCCTTCTCTTGCTGCTTTGAGAGTCTTCCTTTTGTTTTAACCTTTAAGAGGTTGATTATACTATATTTTGTGATGCACATGATTAAGTTGAATCTGATTGGTGACTTTGTGCACCTGTTCATTTGTATCTTTTTTTAGGTTTGGGAAATTTTCTGTTCTCATCTCTTTGAATGAGTTTTCTCCCTCCATTGGCATTCTCAAGCCACTTTTAAACCCCAGAACCCAAGTATTCACTTTTTTAATGCTGGCCCAAAATTCCCACAAGCTTTCTTCATTCCTTTACTTTCTTTCCTGTTTTCCTTCTCTGTGTATTTTCAGTTAACCTTTTCTGACCTTACTGATTTTTTTCTTCAATGCCTTCTACCATGTCTCTCATTTCAATTAGTGCACTTTCTAGCTCAAGAATTTCTGTTATTTTTTAAAATTACTTCACTCTTTTTCTTAAATTTCTCTGATAAGATGTTGAATTGTTTCTCTTTGTTTTCTTGAAGCACGTTCAGTTTACTTAAAACTTTCTCTGAAAGTTTGTGTAGATTGATTACTTTATGGGCAGTTATTGGCACCAGTAGGTGTGGTCATAGTTTCCTGAAAGTTATTGATACTTGCTGATATAAAACAATACTTGTATATTGAAGGATGCGCTACTTATTCCAGTCTATATAATTTGACTTTGTTTATGTCTGTCCTAGAAATTGTAAGCAGGCTGCTTATTTTCCTTGGGCCTGTGATCATCACCACTATTTTGGCAGATGGCACCCAATGTGCAGGTTTCTCATAAGTCCATGGATGGTGCACTTTAACTGTTGGAGCCTTATTGGGCACTCTAGGCCCATGTTCATCATAAAACCACTGTTGGTATGCTGTTTAGGATGGACTGGAGATGTTCCTAAAGGAAGGGTGGTTTGTTCCTATAAGTCTCTGCTGATGGTTAGGGTTAGCCAAATACCTTGTCCTTAGTCCCTGGCCTGTGGTCAGAAGCTACAGGATTCTGTCTCATACTAGGCTTCACTGTGGAAACACTGGACATAGGATCCTATGAAACTCAACAATTACCTACCTTTTCCCTGAAATGGACAATGAATCTCTGTACTGTGCTACTTGGGGTTGGATGAGGGATAGAGTGGGCAGTCCTATAGCCATCAATGGCACTGAACTGGGTCCTCCCCAGGACCCACAGCCTGCTGAGAACAGTGAAACACAAGGCAGGAACAAGACTTGTGCTGCCTGGCCTGTGTGCTGCTCTGGTCTACTGGGGCTCAAGATGGCTGCAGCCAACCACCGTTGATGTTGGCCAGAATACAGATGTGTCCTTGCTTCAGGTTTCTGCTTGGCACCAGGTCAGGAGGCCTTGTCTGTGGGCATAGCCCTGGGTACAGGGACTATTCGGATCTTCCCAGTGTTGGGTTTTCCAAGCCTGGCATTGATGTTCAAGGCAAAGTCCTATGCTTGCTTCTGACACCACCCTGCAAAAAATGCAGTATTTCTTCACACCCTGCCCCCTGAGTTTGTAGTAAGGTTGGAGAAGTCCTTTGACCACCAGGCTAACATGTGTCTACAGGCTTTGTCTACAGGCAGGAGCTCTGGGACTCTCTGCAGGATTTGGTTTTACCTTAGTAGGAATCATATTGAGTTCCATATTTAAAGCCCAGACTCCTCCTCCACCAAGCAGGAGGAATCCATCCCCATAATGCATTGCTTGGTGCTAAGCAGGGGGAGTTCAAGGAACTTTTTCCTTTCTGCCACCTTCAAGGCCTCTCTGATTCTTATGATCAAACCAGGTACTGGTATCCTTCACTTGGTTTCCTTAGCTCTTACTAAGTTAGTTTTACAGGTAAATAGCTGTTCAGAGAGGTGCTTCTGTAGGAGACATTAACGTATTGCCATGTTGCTCTGCCTCTGTGTGAAATTTGTTAAAGGCCGCAGTAAGACATTTGGTAAGTGCAGGATATCGCAGTCGTCCTTGGGAGCCAATAAAGTTAAACATATCAAAATAACAGGAAGTTTTGTGATGTTAATCGATAATTTATGATAACTGGCCACCATTCCAGAACATGATTAGAACATCATCTCATTAACTCCTAAAATCTCGTTATTTTAGAACATAAATTCTCCATATTTCTCTTTCATGGAAACATGAAATTTCATATTTGCTAGATAAATCTATCATTAATTCGTTCACATTATTTCTATGTTTGCCTTTCTTAATACTAACAGTGGTGGGGTAGGGGTGTTAAGCCTGTGATTACTTCCATTTTTTGTTTCATTTTTAAATGTGAATATTTAAAGATTTAAAGATCCAGTTGAGAAATGTCAACGCTATACTTCTACGGAGTTTTAACAAAATAGCATTTATCTTAGAAATTGTCTTGCAGTGCTATCAAAATCCCCAAATAACAGCAGAAAAACTGGCTAAATGTTTACAAAATAATAGCTTACTGTTGTGAAATTAAAATGTGTTATTCTAAAGAGAACATCTGTTCTTGTAAAAACAAACTATTTCCCAAAGTGGTATATAAAGGATCTCCAGTCATGTCACTGGCTCGATTTTGTACCATCAAACCAGTCTTGGTTGATAAAACTGTGAAATGAAACAGGCCTTACTTTGTTTGGAGGAGTAATTTTCAAATGCTTGTATGATGCAGGATGGAAATGATTAGTGTCTGCTTGTTTGCTTATTTAAAGAGATGTTCAACTACTGGACTCAACAACTTAAAAAAAAAAGTCTTGCTGCAGTAGGTCAGTATTATTAGCCTGCCAGACCTGGAGAAAGAAGAGTTGGCAAATGATGAGTGCAGAAGTAGGCAGTGGTCATTTCCATTTAGAGTTCCCAGTGGATAAATAACCATTGTCAACTAATGGTCTTTACTCTTAAAATGATGGGATTAAATACGTCTAACATAGGTTTAATAACCCCATGCACTGCCAAAGTTTTATTTCAGCTTTTAATTCCAAACCTGCTTATAATTTTCAGAAATTTCTGACAATGGAGCACATTAATTTTGTCTCAATTCCCTGTATTTTTGATGTTCTGGCAAACAAATTATAACCAGAGAAATATTACAGAAGCTACAAGGTATAAACAATGAGAAACAACACACATTTCTAAGTCAGATCATCAATCCCAGGAAGAATTTTAATTGATTAGACTTCATTCAGGAGGGCAAGCCTGGAGGATAACTTTAATTATGATGTTAGAATTTCCTATCAAAAGTATAACCTTGCATCATCTGATTCTTTCTGAAATATTTTAGTCACTCATGGTTTGTCATGTTGGCTACAGTGGTGCATGTGTCAATGTATTTATCATACTGAAGGTAACATTTTTTGTCAAATTATTCACCGATTTAGTTACTGCATGTTTTTTTTTTTCACTTGGGATATTTGTTTTATTTTAATTATTTCTTCTCTTTCAGCCCTTCTTTATGCAACTATTTTTGGAAATGTTACCACAATTTTCCAGCAAATGTATGCCAACACCAACCGATACCATGAGATGCTGAATAATGTTCGGGACTTTCTGAAACTCTATCAGGTCCCCAAAGGCCTTAGCGAACGAGTCATGGATTACATTGTTTCAACATGGTCTATGTCAAAAGGCATTGACACAGAGAAGGTATGGGGTATTATAATTCTTATTATTAATTTTCTACTTATGTAGGATTTTTAGATGCATGAAGCTTCCCTACCCAACATGTTGCTTACACAATTGCTTTATAAATGTTGCTTTGCAATTTTTGTAAGTGACATTTCAATCAATCATATTTATCGAGTGCTTAGAAGGTGCAAAGCACTCAACCATTAATCATCAATTAGTACCAGTCATGATAGTTAATTTAGAAACTTCAGTTCCTGAAAACAAATTGCTCCATTTCTCTAGGACACTTATTACTACTCACAGTAATTTGCTGCATTCTTCCTAAAGTCTCAGAGCACTGTCTTTTCTCCTGCTGGATCTTCTTCTTGATTTCTCCTTTGACTTTTTGTCCATTTAAAAATTAGAAAGAAATGTCTCTGATATAAACAAAAAATATATGTCTTCTATGCTATCTTCCACTTAAATTTCTCCCCTTCCCCAATGTGTTTATCATAAAGTAACGTAATTCCTTATTTTCTACTTAGTCTTATACACATTGGTAAAGGGGATATCTCCCTCTCCAATCATCCAGCATCTTTAATTTGTTCATTGTCTTTTCAGTGGAATTAGTTTAATTTTTTCCACCTATAGCATATTTGTAAAAGGACCTCCTTACAGTGAACAAAAAGAATTTTAAATATTCTCATGTCCTATAGCCAGCTGACTCACATCAAGTGTAGGAAATTACGATAAGAACTTCTACACAGTTTTAGAGAAAACTCATCTTGAGCTCTTTTACTTCATAAGCTTCAGTGAAGACTACTTTTTAGGTACTGATCGTTGACAGATGATAGTCTAATGGTACAATGTCTTCCTTGCCATTTCCAACAAATTTGTGTTTTTAACCTTATGGTGTTGACTTCTAGGGTTTTTTTAAAGACCTGCTCAACAAGGATTTTTTCAATGTCAAGGGGAAAGAGTAAATGACTAAAGTAGATGTTTAGTTACAGGAATTTTGTAACCCAACAGTAAGTCATTTTTTCACCACAGCAGGTGTGCTCAGGATGAGATGGTTGAGAGGAGGTGTAGGGAATGGATATGGAATGTAAGAACTGGGGGAAAGAAACCTTCAGGGGGAGTGCATGTGAGATACCATGTGTAGTTTGGTGGAGAAATCATGAAAGGGTAAGAGTTTCCTCTCTTCCAACATTTTACAGGATGCAATATAAATGTTCTGGTCCAATGGCCAGTTTTAGAGGTATGAATCAAGAGAGGGAAAAACACAAACTACATTTCTGTGGAATTTGATTAATATATACTTGAGCCAATAGATGGATAGTAGAAATGACATCCAAAGAAGACACAGAATCTTCTCAGGGTGAAGGTGAGAGTAACGGAGTTCAAGTCATCAAATGCAGGATATTCTTTGAAGTCCTCATCAAGCAAAACTGAGATCAAGAGGCAACTACCTGCCTTGTCAAACACTATCTCAGATGTTATTCTATCCAGAAAATGAATACTAGCTCACAGAAAACATCAGTGAAATGATGTGATAATGACCTTTTACGTACTAGAAAAGAGTCTGGCAAAGCCTGCATTCCCAGGTGCTGGGTTTGCTCAGGAATGGAGTTGACTAAATTCTCTCCAATCTCCCTTTGAGGACTGCTCCACTGCCAGATTCATGATGTAGTTAGAGAACAGCCCCCTGCCATGCAGTGTGTCTGCAAGTACACATGCCATATGCACAGAGATATTTCTAGGTCCCTCTGATTTACTACTTTGGGAGGTGAAGGCTGGTCACCATTTGGGGTATTTATGGTTGCAGAAATGTACTTTTGATTTGTAGAGTAACCAGAGAAAATGGGGCAGTAGGAAAAAAGATATGTAAAGATGAAAATTATAGGTGAAATAAAAATGTAATTTGAGTGAATTATTTTCAAAGAGGTTTAAAATATTAAATGGATTGGCTTTTGGATAAGGCAAAATTATGGGTATATTTCCTGAGTAGGAATGATTAGAGTTGTTTTTTTGTCTACTTAAAATTTTTATTAATACATGATAATTGTACATAATTATGGGTTCATGCATCTATACAAAGTGTACTGATCAAATCAGAATAATTGGCATTTTATCTTATTATTTCTTTGTGTTTAGGGTCCTCAAGTTCATTTCTTCTAGTTCTACATAAAATACATAATAGGTTTTTGTGAACTATCATAAATATATGGCACAATAGGGATTATTCCTTTTAACTGTGTAAATGATCTGAACAGACAGTTTTCAGAAGAAGAGACAAAAATGGTGTACAAATTTATGAAAAAATGTTCAATGACATTAGCTATCAGGAAGATGCAAATCAGAACTACAGTGAGACATCATCTCACTCTAGTTAGAATGGCTATTTTCAAAAAGACAAAAATAAGTGCTAGTATGAATGTGCAGAAAAGAGAACTCTTATACATTGTTGTTAGGGATGTAAACTAGCACATCTATTATGGAGAGTAGTATGGATGTTTTTTAAAAAAAATCCAAAACTTAAAACAGACCTACAAGATGATCCAGATGTCCCACTTCTGGGTATACATGAAATGAAATCATTTTATCAAAGAGATACCTTCGGTTCCAAGTTTACTGAAGCATTATTTACAATAGTCAAGATAGAGACTCAACCGCGGTGTCTGTCAACAGATACATGGAGAAAGAAAATATGGTGTAAACACCTGAATATTATTTAGTCAAAAAGAAACAGGCTACATGTGGTGACTCATGTCTACAGTTGCATCTACTGACAAGGTAGAGATTGGGAGGATTGTGATTTGAAGCCAGCATAGGCAAAAAGTTAGCAAAACTCCCATCTTAACCAAACGAACTGGGCATGGTGGTGTGTGCCTTTCATTCCAGCTATGCAGGAGGCAGTAGAGGGAGGATTGTGGTCTGAGACTGACCCCAGGCAAAAATGTGAGACCCTACCTGAAAATTAACTAACACTGAAAAGGGCTGAGGTGTGGCCTAAGTGTCAGAGCACCTGCCTAGCAAGCATGAATCCCTGAGTTCAAACTCTACTGACAAAACAAACAAACAAACCAAACAAAAACCCCACCAGAATCTTATCATGTACAATAAAATGGCTGGAACTAGAGGAGTTTAGGTTAAGTAAAGTAAGCCAGACACAGAAAAAACAAAGGCCTTATGTTTTCTCTCACATGTAGAAGCTTTAAAAAGGTCAATTTGAATGTGGAATAGTAATTACTGAAGGATGGGAAGGGTGAGGATAGTGAAGGGAAGAGGAAGGTTGGATAGTAAGTACCCAACATACTTAGAGTTGATTTTTCCAATGGGAAAAGCAAATATAAAAGTTTTGTTGTCCACATACAAAGCATTCCATGACTGTTGATTTCTTTCAGCCTATTAGGAAAACCCCCACTCAGATGCATGCACTAGGAAAACAGTACTGTAAGTGAAGGGAAGGAAGAAAAGATACATGCCAAATTCTGGCCTGGGGGATGTAGGGATTCTTAGAAATTTCACCTTCAGTGATGCTGAATTTAAAAATGCTTCTTAGACTACACACCATATGCTATATTAAACAAGAAGAAAACAACATTTGCACCTGTGTCTCTGATTTAAGCACAAGACTCATGTGACTGCCTATTTGGAATTTAGTTATTTAAAAAGTAAATAATATACATAACATATAACTTTAAAATGTAATAGGGAAGTGTTATGATATACACAAAAGAATTAGTAGCCAAAGCAAAGAGAAGAAATACAATCAAAGAAGCAGACTTGGCTTTACCCAGTAGAACTGGGAGTAAGTGAAAGGAAACATTGCAAAACTGAAATTGATATTATATTAAATAATATTATTATAAAATGGACTAAAAATCTAATAAAATATTTATTTATAACAGTCTTTCTTCACTGCCTACCACAAATATCAGAAGAACTAAGAATGAAATATAAAAAATAAGGGACCATGAAATATGAGAAGAAAATGTGGATATATTTCACTTATCTTTGTGCATTAAAAGTAATATGTAATAATGTAGCTGTGAGATTTGGCTAAAAATCATATAGCCCTTCACACCAAATAAAACCATATGAAAACAAAAATAAGATGAAGAATTTTCAACAGACATCACAAGTGAAAAGTCAATTACTTTAATTTATAACTTGATCTTACAAATCAATAAGTAATAGAATATTTGGGGAGAAAAATAAGCCAAACACATAGTTAGGTAACTTATAGAAGAAAAAAAAATATGGGTTACTAATAAACATACAATAATGCTTATTTTCATCTTAATAGATTACAAATTGAAAAAGCAAGAAGCCACTTTTAGTGTCATATATACAAAGGTATTGCCCAATCTTAGCAAAGGCTGTAGTGTTTGGCTCTATTGTATAATTCTGGAAGATGTGTCAATGGGGAGAGCCTTTCTTGAAAGTAATTAACCAAGATAATAGTATTTTAGAGTATTCTAGAGCTCTTCCCCTTTCTGTCTATATTCACTCCTTCAGTGGTACCATCCCATTTCATGACTTAAAAAATATATTCTAAAATACCCAAATGTACATACTTATCTTGGACTTATTGTTTCACTATAGACTCTTGTAATTGCCTACTCATGTCCAACGAAGTTGTCCAAAATTAGGCTCCTACTCCTTTTCTAAAAACCTGTCCTAAGTCATCTTCCCCAGTGCAATCAATGGAAACTCTACCCCTCAGTTGCTTAGCACAAGGCCTCCATCAAATCATTTTGGATCTACCTCCACTTCTCATCACCTTTATTGCTATCACCTCATCCAAACCACCATCCTGTCCTACCCAAGTTGTTGTAATAGTCAACTAATGGGTCTGAACTTCCATCTTTGTTCCCTTAGAGTCTTTTCTCAACACATGAGCATATAATGGCTTTTGCAATAAAACTTTCTATCTTTTAATCAGTCTATTTATCTAGTCAATCTAATATATATCTGTGCTGAGGCATTTGATAAAAGCCAAATTGATTGAAAATGTTAAAATGCAAATGTGGAAA